TGTTTGTCTTAAAGAATTTTTGAATTTTTTGTGCCAGTTTTTTTAAATAAAAAAAAAACTTTAATTTAATTAAAATTTCAGAAAATATTCAGTTTCTTTCCGTATGAATTTCCGTCATATGGTGAAACCAAAAGAGATTTATCTTTGTTATTCACATAAGAAGCTTATAGGTTTATAGGGGTACAGTTAGAAAACTTTCATTAAACTTTAATTTTTTTAAGCTTGTTTAATTCTAAAACTAATTCTATACAATAAGAAACTCATAAGCTATAATATGAAATTTGTTTATGATTTTTATACACAAAACCCAAATTTCAGGAAAATTTATATCTCATTTGCAAACCATACAAGTATATTTTATTAATCCTTCATTTACATACTAAGTTATACTGAAAACAATTTTGCAAATAGTTTGTTAAAGGTTAAAATTGTGATATCAGGCAAGTATGTGAAATTTTCTCATTTCAAATTCACTTTCAATAAATTTATGAGCGGAACATTTATATCGGTAACCAATCATTTGGTTAGGCAAGTTTTAAAAAATTAAATTTCATTCCAATTTTAATATGTTAATCGGTTTCCTCCCAATTTTTTCAATGAATTTTTGAAAATGTTGATAATTTTTAGTTATTCGTTAAAGTTTTGTGTAAAATAAATTTTTTTTTTTTTTTTTTAACTAAAATATAAAATATTAAGTTTTTATAAATAAGCAAACAGTGAAATAATTTTTATGCAGTTTTTTTGTTAAGGAACGGTTTTTCTATAAATGATTTTTGATTTCAATTATTCTACATTTAATATAATTGTTATAATTTTTATGAAAGTTTTTTAGATAGTTTTGGCTTTTATAGATCTTTTTATTGTGAATTTTGTTATTCATTTTAATGTAGCTCAAAAACGTAATGTGGGAATATGAAAAAATAATTTTTTACTTTTGTGAAAGGTTATTTGAAATAAAATAATAATTTTTAACAATTTTTTCATTTCATAATTTGTCTATTTTCGATGTCTTTATACTCTTATAAGTTATTTGCTAGTTTTGCAATTATTTTACAAATTATCCTTCCATCTTATACAATGGTCCTATACTTTCAAATAAATAGTAATAAAACAAATTGTACCTAGTTTTTAAAATATTCAAGTGTTCATTTTCAAAACATGGTGAATTGCTCTATATATGATTGTGACACATTACTTAACCATAATTGATTTTATATTGGGTCCTTTAGCTACTATAAAATATTTTACATAACTTTTTTTTCTACGAAATGTTTCTAATATTTTTTGTTTTTGCTGTTACATAAATAATTTATTAAAAATTATTGATTATTTTTTAATAAATAAAATAAAAAAAATGAATATTTTAAATATTAAACGGATAATAATTGCAGGAATTTAAAGTTCAGCATAATTTTTTTTTGTAATATCAATTTAAAAAAATATCTATAAATTTAATTATGAACTTTGTAAAATTTTTATTTATTATTAATTATTAATTAAAACAATTTGCAAAATAAATTTTATATTTATCCGATATAAAATATACCAATTATAATTTAAAAAAAAAAAACTAATTTAATTTTGTAAAAAGTTATTGTTTATTTAATTGACGTCGCTTTGCATCATGTTAAGCAAAAAAAAAATTGAATAATAAAAATCAATAAAACTGATATATGTGAGTATATGTGAGCCACTTTAATCACAATTTAAGGGGTGAAAACTTTTTATTTTAATCAATGTGAACACTTCACGGTCAATGAACCTAAAAATAATCACGTATCAATTTTGATTTTAAAATATTTACAAAATAAATTTTCGCATTAAATGTTGCCTTAAGCACATTTTAATATTTGAACTAAAATTTTAGCAGATGATATTTTTTAATTTCGTGTAAATTTCTAAATTTTTTCATTAGTGCTTTTATATGGAATTATGAAAACGTTAATCAGTACGTCTCGAACAATTTTCATTGCCAGTTATTGGCTTTTTGCTTTATATAAAATAAATTAAAAACCTCGCTTAACTTAAATTATATATTATAAATATATTTCAATGCTACTTAATTTTGTAGTTTCGGATTTTGCTTAGCTTTACAAACATAATATTTATCCGGAAAAATATAACTATGAGGCGACATGTTTTTTTATCCTCATTTATTTACATCTTAATTTTTCTTAAAATGGAACTCATTTTTATTGAATAAACACTCTTTAACAATAATTTATTGTGTTTGTCATAATCAAGTTTACCCCTACTTCTTAAGTTCAAAGTGATAACTTATACATAGTGTTTTTCTATTTACTTATAATTTCTGTTTTTCATATTCAATGCACAAATTTTTATGTCTGGGCAAGATAGAAAATCTTTTTTTTTTATAAGTACATACACTAAGTCCTCGAGATTCGACATCTTCTAATACGACATTTCGAGTTACGACATAATATAAATTTGGATCATTTTTATTCGGCTTACGACATTGAAAATTTAAAAAACAAATGTTTTTTTTTTTTTTTTTTGACAGATTTTACTGTTTTGTGAATTAAAATCTATACCGAATTTAGTTATAAGACGAGACTAAAGCACGTACTTCAATAATGAACTCTTTCTAGTTAAAAATTCTAGTCAGTAGTTAAGAATACGAATTGAAATGATAAAATATCAACTTAATCAGATTTTATTTTATTTATTTTTGTTACAACATCGAATTTTTTTGGTTTTGCTTTTTTAAACTTTGTCACCTTTTTTAAAAATGAAAGGTTAATTATTTTACAACATAGTTTGTCTAATTCACTTTTTGTTTCCATACATTTTTTTCCATCCTCAAACGACAATTCGAGTTACGACATAAATTTCTGGAACCAAAAATGTCGTATCTCGAGGACTTAGTGTAATATGTATTTTGGAACTTTAATACTAAGCTACAATAATAGTAAGTGGTGGACGCGAAAATTTTAAATTATAAAAGCACGTCGAAGTACTTTCTAGCAATTCCTACACATGTTCTGAACAACAAATAATATGAATTTCAAGTATCTACATTATTTTAAAATAATTAAAACCTATAAGACCATATTATAAATTTAAAATGTCAATAACACGGAATTAAACTTATTATGATAATAAGTAATTAATTATAATGATTTAATTAACATTATTAATAAAATAAGCAAAAAAATGAACTTTGCTTTAATTTTTTTTTTTTGTGAATTAAGTGTTTGACTAATGAAGTTTCAACAAACACACAATTTTGTATACGCAAAATATCGCCATTGTATTAGAATAGTAACACGAGTGGATTTTATAACGGATAATTTTTTTTAGTATTTTTTTTTTTTAATAATTTCATAAAGAAAGGTACATAGAGTTTATGAGTAACTATGCACATTAAAATAATATTTAAAAGCCCCAATATATAGCAAGTAACATTACGTTGATCAAATTCTATTCATTGTTTGCTCTATATATATGCAAATTGTACATAAATAGGACAATGCAATTTTAATTAAACAATTACCAAAATGTTAAACTTCATTAATTTGTTTCTGAATAACAATCAAAATAATATAAAACAGAGAATCAGGAGATTTATTAAATATTTGTTTTTGTTGCTTTTGCTAAATTTTTTATTATACTTATGTCCCCTTTATGTATTACTAAACTATTTATTTAATAACTATGAAATTAAACTAAAATATAAAAAAGAAAAATCGGTAATATCCCTTTTATATCATATATGTATGTATGCAGCTTGATAAATAAATTCTTGCGTAAAGCAATGTCACTATTAAAATTACTTATTATAAAATTTGTCATTCAATCATTTTATATTTTAATTTACCAAATATATAATAAATGCATTAATAATGAATTTTTTGTAAAAAATTAGTTATAATGAGAAAAAAACAATCGAGTTTATTTAAAACATCTATAAAAATACTAATTGTTGGTTTTTTAAATTAAAAAACTATAATAATTAATAATTTAAACCACAAAAATAAAATTAAAGTTAATGTGTTTTTTTTTCCTATGAAAAATCAATACATAGCCGCATGTAAATGAAAAATATGCAAAATTTTACAAAAAATTGCTTCTATTATGATGAAAAAGTATTTTTTTTTATTTATGCTTATTAACTTCAACATAATTTTCACGTAATGAAATATTTGATTATATTTTTTTTCGTTTTGAAAATTTATTTGAATTTAAAATATTTACATTTCCCTTATTGTAATTTTTGAGCACGCAGAATGGTTTACTTAATGTTTAAATAATCCCCTGTGTGTTTGGAACACTTTGAGTTTATCTTACAAATTTACAAATATTTTTCGTAATTTCTTGTATACATATCACATATTCGTCAAAAGTAAAATTCAACTATTTTAGGGGTTAAAAATATTATAATTGTTTTAGTTAAATGAAATATTAATATTGAAATTTTATGTAATTTTTTTTTAATACTACACTAAAAACAATGTTGCACTCGACTAAAGTTTAGCACAATTCCTGAGTTTTAACATTGCATCTACATTTATTTTATTTTTAGCTACAAATTACGAATTTGATATTCAGAGACAAGATTCTGTAACGTTTATAATCACATTGTACGTACCTTTGCACATACTTTAAATTAGCTGGAGCTAAAGCCCAGCAGTTTATTATAACTCAAATTTCTTGGTAGTTTAACGGGATCGAATGAAACGGGCCAATATTTGAATTGAAAATGAAATTTAAAATTTACATACATATATAGTGAATCTAGAATCTAAAAATTTACATACATATATGTATATGTAGCTACATTTACTTTAGCACACTTTTTTCTATTTATCTACATATACTTCATATGTAGATGAATAGTTGACCAAATGATGTTTCATATGTACATACATACATCGCAATAGTTTTTGCTAATGAATTCATATAATGTGAGATAAAAAAACATCTACATATAATGAATAAAAAATAAAATAAGGTGGGTTTATCATTGAAATTGAACTTACCCAAAAGATAGAATATAAAGAAAACAAGAACTGCAACATTATAACAAATTGATATGCAGTTGGCGTCCATCGTCGCAATTGGATCCACCTAGCTCGGATCCACACGTTGTTCATGTTGGGGGAGCCACCTTGCTCGGATTCAAACGTTGTTCATGTTGAGGGGATCCATCTAGCTCGGATCCACACGTTGTTCATGTTGGGGGAGCCACCTAGCTCGGATTCAAACGTTGTTCATGTTGAGGGGTTCCATCTAGCTCAGATCCAAACGTTGTTCATGTTGGGGGGATCCACCTAGCTCGGATCCAAACGTTGTTCATGTTGGGGGGATCCACCTAGCTCGGATCCCCTTGTTTTATCCATGACTATTGTTACATTCTGAAAAAATGTACATAAGTTGATCGCAGTGTTGTCATCTACAAAACGTAGTGCTTTCATCTCAAATCTTATATTCGATCACTAAATAATGCACTTATGAGTTCACTTATAAAAAGTAAAGCAATTTTACTTATTTATTAAATATGAAAAATTCTAAAATATTATAACGGTTTGTTTGAACTGAAGTGAAGCCAAGCCACTCCGTTTTGCTTTTTATATTACATTTTTTTATAATGAAGCGACACTTCAAAACGTCAAAATGTCAAAAATTATCTGCAAAAACAACTAACGAAAGAACTAGGAATTGCATTGATGAAACTTAACGAATAATTTATTACGTTTCCTTAAAGTCGACACGACACTATAAGTAAATACATATATTATTATTTTTGAAATATGTAGAATGCTAAAGAAAAAAGTTCCATGTAAAATACAAATTATATATAAAGGAAAGATTACAAACTATATATTAAAATAAGTTATACCCATATAAATAAATTTTAGCACGTGTTTTACTAGTTTTTTAAATAAAAATAAACACAATGTATTCAGTTAATAAAATATATTTTGTATATAATTTATTCATCGAATTTTTGTTTTATATGAATTTTTTTTCAGAATTTTATTTTATAAAGATGCGAAACATTTGCTTATAGTGTCGACTTTAAGAAAACTTAATAAACTATTCGTTAAGTATCATCGACGCAATTCTTATTTTTTTTCGTTATTTATCTTTGCAGATCAATTTGAGCTTTTGACGTTTTGAAGTGTCGCATTATATAAAAATGAAATTAATATGAAAATGGCTTCAATTTAGTTCAGACCGTTATAAAATTTTCTAAAAATTAAATATGTAAAATCTAAGAATATTCTTATTAAATAACTAATTGAAAGTGCTTTTTGACTTATAAGCGAATTCAAACATGTGGAATTTAGTGATAGCCTTACTTTTTGTGGATAACTCAATATTGCAAATAGCTCGCATCTATAGAATATTTTACACCATAAAAGAGTATTTTATGAAATCAACAGCCATTGGTAAAACAAGGGGATCCGAGCTAGGTGGATTCTCCAATATGAACAACGTCTGGATCCGAGCTAGGTGGATCCAGCTGCCACGATGGACCCAAAATGCAAACCAATTTGTAGTGTTGCAGTTTTGTTTTCTTGATGTTCTATCTTTTGGGTAAGTTCAATTGTGCTAATTAAGCAAACTATTATAATCTTTTTTTTATTCCATCATATCTTTGTTAAAATTAAACGATGAACCCAAATAAATAGCTACGCACGCATTTACATTTTAGAAATATGTATGCAAATGTGTACGTAGCTGCTACGTATACCTATGTACATGTGTATGTATGAATGTAATATGAGAATAGAAAAAAATCGCTTCATTTTATATGTACGTATGTATCTGTGTATTTGATTTTGATCACAATATTCATTTATTCCCTGCCTTTGTCATTAAAACAGGAAATAAAATTTTCCTACTTTAAAATTAAGGTAAGCCTAGATGAAGCTTAGAATCTCCCTATAGCTTGACATTAGAACTTTTCTACTAAAAACTGAAAATGATTTTAAAAATCCACATGTGTATAGAAAAAGAAAAAAAACGTCAAATGTATCTGAAAATTTTCTTTATTCATATACAAGGTACCTACTTACAACAGAAAATCCCTAGAACTGAAAAAATGAATTTTAGATAGGTGTGCTAGTAAAAAAGTTGAAAATTTAAATTATTCGAGATGTTTACCTTGAAAAACAGGAAACTGAAAAAATTGGCATCATTTCGGTTTTTTGAGGACCATTAATATTTATTATAATATTGCCTTTATGTCTTTTGCTAGTTTAAGTTTTTTGTAAATTAATGTGATTGTGCCAAAATTTTTATATGAAATTATTTAAAATATAAAAAAAAATTTGTATGTTGTACTTAAATATACAAAATTGGCAAACAAATTTTTATATTGAAAAACTTAAAAAAATTATCTTGTCAACAAGATTTGGAAATTAAATGATTGTGATAGGTATATGTATAATAATTGTGAACATGTTATATTATACAAGCTACATAGTGATAACTGTAATAAATAAATACAAAAATATTTGAGCGGTGCAGTTTTCCGGAATGACTTCATTTTGAAAATTTTGAAATTGAATTTAAAAATTTTGCATTTTAACTTGAATTATTTGTCTTACTTAATAAGTAATTATGTGCACTAATAGCATTCTTATTCAGTAATTTGTAATGAATTGCAATTTATGACGCTAACCTGCTATAATAAAATCTCACTAAAATAGAAAATTAAATCTTAAATTTAAGATCAATATAGAAATAACAAAATTTTAGGAAATTTTTATTATTAAAAAGCTGAAAACTTATAGAAATTAAGCGTTCAAATCAAAATTATTTTAAATATCTTATTTATTCTTCATCCTTAAAAATTTTTTATCTTTTTGGTTGGAAAAAATTATTAAGGTTTCTTCAAAATTTAAGTTTGTTTCATTAAATATTTAATTTTGCATATTATTCTTGAAAGTTTAAAAAAGCTTTTCTGAAGGTTAAGTAGTAAAATGCCTTAAAATATTACTTTGATAAATTTGGAAAATTTAAAAGGGAATATATTTAATCTTAAATTTAGCCAGGAAGATTAATAAATAAAATTGAATGAATGCAAACACGCCCTACTGAAACTCAATGAAATTGAAAAATAAAAATCCTTTTTTTTTACTTTCTACCTTTTTAATAGTCAAAATGGGTTTCAATTTTCAATTTTTATAAACATAGCAATAAACTAATAGAAAAGTATAAAAATTTATTTTAAGGGCCTTCTATATTTATATTATACCCTTATAGTCCTTTGGACGGTTAATTATATTTCCTGATATACATTTTCCCCATGTATGTGCTTATGTTCAACTTAATTGTTTCATTATTTCAGTAGCTTTTGTTTTGTCGGTTCATGATTAAGTGAAAAAAAAATTTAAGATACAAAATTTAAATGATGTTTTGAATTACAGTTGCCCAAGATTATATATAAAAGTTATATTTAATTATAAAAGTTGATGTTAAGCAAAGGATATCATATTTTATAGTACAAACATATATTATTTTAATTTACAACTTAACGAATTTTAATTATTTATAAGGAATGAAAAATTATATACAATGAAAATTTGGAATATATGCTGGACATTTTAAGGATATTTTTTTTTTATTTTATAACATTAGGGTTTTGTTTATCTACGGCTTGTATTTTCCAATTAAAAATTCATCAAAATAAAGAACAAAAAGACATAAAATTTTGTTGAAAATTAAAATTGGTATGTTCATACATTCTATAAATTCTGTTTTTTTTTTTAATAATATGTGTATGTACGAGTATGTATGTAGAGAAAGGATAATAAAAAGGGGACGGTATATAAATGATAGTGTTCAACATTATAATTTTCTTTATTTCAATTTGTGTACATATATGTTTAAATATAAAATATAGAACAAGAATGATATTATTTTGCTTTATTGCCTTAAATCTTTAAAACTTCAATCTTGTATCATGTTTATTTAGCACAATTTTGTTATTCTTAGCCTAAAATCCAAAAGGATTGCAATATATGAAAATTAAGTTTTATAACTTGAATGGATACGGTGGTAACTATATTTTTGGCTATAATAATCTTGTGATAGGCGCGAAGGCGAAATTCGAAATTTTTTAACACTTTTTTTTTTTTGCTTTCTTTAAAAAGTTTACCAAAAACAATTTACAAAATTTTAATTAAATCTATAATAGTAAAAATTTCCTGTTGGGTTCGCAAAGAAAAATAAAGGGGTTGTTAAATTAAATTGCAATTCTTAGTTTAATAAGAAACAGGGTTAGAATTACAAAAACCTTAAGAGAGCTTTAATATGTAAATATTAAATATATTTAAGCTTTTTTATGTAAATATTAAATATAAAGCTTTTAAGATTGTAATTTCAACTTTAAGAAAAACATTTTCAGGAGGCTTTTGCTTATTACACTCACTTATTTTTACTTAACAAACCTAGTAAACTAATTTTTGCCCCTATATTGAAATTAGGACGCATGTAATTCTTCCTTAATGAGTTCAAAATTCATATAAATACATATATCAAATAAAAAATTAAATTAAATAAAAATAACAAATTAAAAAAAAAGTATGCACAAAGTGTTGAAGATTAGCTTACTGATTGCCGCTTATTGAAATTTCTGTATATATGTACGTTTAACATCATGTTTTCTTATCTATTTTATTTTTGTAGGTATATAGAGTAAAAAAGTTTGGGTTAAACAAAATACAATTAAAGGGGCATATTACATTTTATTATTATTGTTTAAGTAATAATTTGTATCCTTTTTATTGGTGTGGCTGCACGTAAAATTTTTACCGACTTCTTTTTCACTTATTTTTCTTTTTTCCAAATATTTTATACATTATTGTATATATATACACTTTCACAGTTCAACAGGTTTACGAGTATACATATATTGTTTTGTATGTAGAGAAATTGAAAGTTAACCGAAATGTTTAATGTGAAATATAATTAAATACGACTTGGGTTAAAGAGGCCTACTGTATTTTTTATTTTCCACTTTTCTTCTTTCTCTTTATTTCTGTTTAGTCATGTAAAAGAAGTCATAGTACACAATATTTTACTTGCCACCTAATGAGGTGGTCAATTTTTGAGTAGGGGAAGACAGTTTTTCTTATTATTTTTATTTTAAATTGATTTTTAAATAAAAGGAGACATTTTTTGTGTTTGGTTTATTTTTGTTTAAATTTCATTAAACGCAGTGCAATTTTTGTTGAATATTTAAAGTATTTCAAAAAAAATTTGTTAAATTAAATTTGGTGGAAGAGCGGAAGTATTAAACAAAGTGGAAATTTTTACCCAATTGGTATTACATAAAAAAGTTATGGCAAATTAAATTTAATAAAGTAAAATTGTGGCTCTTATTTCTCTTACACAAGCAACACTTTTTTATTTGTGTAAATATTTTAAAATAATACACGAATTAGATTTACTATTCAAAAGTATAGTTCTGTTGTTCATCTTCTTCTTGCTTCTTGCAAAAACTTCTTATATAGAGAAGCCTACAGTTTGGATATCAACGCGTATTATTTTATAAAAAAGGAAAACGTTTTCTGTGTTTAAATAAGAAAAATAAAAAATATTAAATAAATAAAAACAAAAAAGGAATAAAATAATTTATTAAAAAAAATAATTAAGAACTCCGAAAAACGCAGTTATAGCAGAATTTTTAAATGTTTATATGACCTACTTTGCATTACAATTTCAAATATAATTCAAAAGAATAAATAAAATAAAGCGCTAAGTAAAAAAAAAAGAAAATAGAAATTGAACATTTTATTGTAAAATGTTGGAAAAAAATTTGGGGAAAACTGAAGTGATATAGTGAAAAGGATAAAAATTTAGATGTTTTGTTTGCTTGTGCCAGAGTGTGCATTTAAATACAAATTCAATACTCTTGTTATTGTTTTTGTTCATTAAAACGAAAATATTGATAAAGATAACGAGAAATGGATACATTTTTAATAATTTAGGTTTTAAATTATTAATAGAGAATTTAAATTGGATTTGAAAAAAAATGGTTCATAAGCAAACCTGCATAGATGAATACGAAAGAACAATGGAGTGAGGTCCCCAATGAAACTGAGGCAACCTAAGTTCTAGAGCATATAATTAAATAATTCCTAAATTGCGTAATAAAAATTTTTCTTCCAAAAATGAATGAACTATAATTTTCTTGCCAATTTTCATCCAACTTTTACATACTTTAGTTCGATTGATAATCGTGTGCCACTTGGTGACTGCATTTTAGAACAACTACATGTTGGACATTTACTTGTTCATTCAATTTTATGGAAACCGCAATTGTTTATAATAAGGTTATAAACTTTGCTTAAGTTTTTTAAAACGGCGAAGCATTAAAATTTTATATTGTGTGGAAACTTCGAAATACTACTCATTGAAACTTGGGTATAAAATACAATAATTCCGAAGAAAACTAAATATTGAAAATCAGTTTTTGGAGTATAATAATATTCTGCCACTGCCAATTAATTTCCCCCAATTTTCTATTTAATTTTCCGAATTTCTCCGATTTGTTTCCGATTATTTTCCTTTCTGTGACCCAACGT